AAATAAATTTCTGGAGAGAAAAATAGGAGTTGTCGTAGGTAGGATATTGGCCGCGGGGACGCGGCCAGAACAGTACTTAACTAACACTCTTGTCCTTGTCAGTCCTTTTGGCTTGAGTATCGAGGGACCCCCCTGATGATGATCGGCTGGCAACCGATCGAAACGCGGCGTAGGGGGAAGCCGCAGGGATGAAGGTGGAGGTTGACACTGACGTATCATGACCTGTGTTCTTCTCACACATGGTGTGATGGTGGCGATGGTAATTGGGGACGAGCTTCACGTCTGATCTTTTTTGACTCGATTGTGATCTATATCATTTCACCGATGTATGAGATCTATGCGTGCATGTGACCACTCGTGTGGAGACTACGATCCTGTAAGAGGATTGAGGTGATAACGGACAGGGAAGGACACCCAGGGCGGTGGTCGCTACGTATTAGCTAAGTTGACGTGGAAGATGGGATGTTATACGTGTGGCCAGGATGGCCACTTTGTGAGAGATTGCCCTCAGCGGGCGGGCGCTGCTGCTAATAATAATAACAATAATAGTAATAACTATAATAATGGCTACCAGAGGTATAATGGGTTGACGTGGCAGCAGAAGAAGGATGTGGAAGACATCGCATGGATGAGGGAACTATGTGCTGACATCGCGAAGCATAAGAAAGAGAGAGAGGAGCAGGAGAAGGAGCAGGAACGTTTGAGGATAGAAGAAGATCGGCGAAAGAAGGAAGAGGAACAGCATCGACAGATTGAGAGACAGGCGGAGATTCGGGATGCACGATTGATGGCGGCGATGACATCACAGCATAAGGCACAACACGACAAACTGGCGATGCAGATGGACGAAGTCAGATCGAGGATACATACTCGAGACACGCAACGGGAAGACACCAAGAAGTTACGAGGAGAGGTGTTCAAGCTGGAGCGAGAGCTGGCGAAAGAAGACAGCCCGAAAAAGGAGGAGGAGCTACGGAGGAAGCTGGTGCAACTGCGGAAGCTGAAGGAGGAACGTGATCTGGCCCGCGTCAGAAAGAAGACCATGGAGGCAGAGATAGAGTGGGAACTCTAACAGACGAGGAGGGAAGTTGATCTGGAAGATCAATATGCACCATCGTCATCAACAAGACCCCCACGGAAACGAAGAACAGAGACTCCATCTACACCGCTGAGGCCACGACGAGTCAGGTAACCGAATATGGGGATACGTATTGAAGAGCCATCTACTCCGCGGACGCCGATGACGACCAGATCACAGAAGAAGAATCCGATTATTGACAACGAGACACTGATCGCGGGCTGGCAAGATATCACGAGGAACGGCGCAGGGAACAACGTCGTGGATTTCTGCATGAACATGCGAAGCTACCTCCGAACCAAATCAATGGCGGAACTGCAATGTCTCTGCGGGGAGGAGAATATGGAATACGTAACGAGGGAGAAGGCGATTAAGTCACTGATATCAAACAAGATGCAAGAGAAGATTCTGCGGGGAAACGCAGGATCTGCCGTCGGTCCGAATCCGGAGGTGAGCTCAGATAGGGAGCCCGATCTAGAGACTAACTGACACTTAGACCTCGACCGAGCTTGGGCGTCATGGGACTCGTTGGTGGAATATAGAAGGACGGTTAGCCAAAATAGAGCCGTAGCGAACTCGATATATGCTGCTCTTAGAACCGTGATTGTAATCCTCACGATGCGGGGGGCTACACCTTGGGCAAACAAGTTCATAGATCTATGGGAGAAGGGAGGTATCGATTGGGAGAACCCATCAAGATGTGTCTATGCGCTGATCTCGCTGAAATGCCGAAAGATATATATCAGAAAGACTAGTCGGGAACTCAACTGCAGATGAAGGAACATGTGACATGTAGCAGAGGGAAAGAGAGCAAGAGCCAATCGCTTTATAGATGGCTTAGAAAATTCGGCACGGAAGAATACGTGGTGATACCACTCACAGCGGTCGAGAATGACGACGATCTGACGAGGATAGAGAGATGTCTGATCAAGAGATGGTCCCCGACGCTGAACTGTCTGGCGAATAAAATACTCAGACCGAAACGCAGGAAGAAGAGGAAGGGAAAGAGAGAAAGGAAGGTGAGAAGCTACACGAGAGAGAGAAAGGGAAGCATTCTACGTTTTGAAGACATCGCGGGAACGTCGACCGCGAGGCTAACAGATAGCCTAGAACTGGCAATCAGAGGCGGGAAGAAAGACGTGCGCATTTCCTGTCGCAGGGACATTTGGTGTGAGGACTAGAAAGTGTTGAAACGGAGATTCGGACTCACAACGATTGAGGCCAGGGGTACCACCTGCCTTCTGAAGGAGGGAAAGAAGCTGATCGAACGAGAGGGAGGGATAACCATCAAGGATCCGCTCGAGACAGTGACGTTCCCCTCGAAGATTAGAAGGGAACTGCTTCTGCTACTCACCCAACCATGGACAAGAAAGAGGCTAGGGAAGAAAGAGAGCCACGAGCTGACGTGTACCAAGCAACTAGGGGATTTGACAAGAGAAGTAGGCAACGGATGCGAGTTACAATCTCTCGTGTCCTAAACGAGAAATTAGGAATTAATATAAGGAAGAGGCAGACTGTTAAGATTCCTTACGACGACAGAGTGGATAGGAGGAAGGTCGGTGATGTGGTGAAGGAGAAGATCGGTGATTTGAAGATGAGTGAAGAGATCACTGCTATTGTACGAAGACACGTACGCGTTGTCTGGATACAAAAACAGACAGTAGGCGACGTGCTTCACAACCATCGAGAGTATGCTCGCTCGAATGGTAGCATCTGCGTCTGCGCAGATTGCCCCTTCCCGCTAGTGGAAGGACATGTACAATGCGGGTTATCGGAACTGGGGGCTCCTGATTTTCTTCTGAACGCACGGAACATTCCTCCACAACGGACGAAGGAGGTAAGACGAGGGATCATGGCCGCAATCCTAGATGGCCTAGAGGAGATCTTTAGAGGGGCAGGAAGAACTCTTACTGTGCACAAGATGGAGTTCGAACTATGTGTGGAGGAGCAGGATGTACCACGCGAGGACAACTACCAGCTGCTGCTGGATTGGAAGAGACGACTACGAGGTCTGGTATGTACCCCGATGGACCGTAACCCGGGGGAGACATAGATTGTATGTCCGGTGGTCTATGCACGAGCTTTCCGGGATACCTTCTGGCACGGCGCAAGCTTCCAGATGTGTAACATACCGGCAAAAACAACACTCGCAATGAGCAAGAAGGATTTTAAAGACCTGGGTCTGAAGAAACTAGGATCATGGAGGAAGAAGGGCAGGATAGGGGGCGCATATGTCATACCAAAACACAAGGACCCCCGAAGATGGTGGCCGATCGGCCCAGCATGGAATGCACCGACGAAGGAAGGAGCGAAGAAGGTGGCCAAAGCACTCCACTGCATGCTGCAATGCCTGGCAAAGAGACTTCATTTCAACGTAACGTCATCAGAAGAGGCGATCAGAAGGCTGACAGCATGGTCGACGAACCTGAATCCGAGGCAAGGAGTGATGGCGGCAACTTTCGACATCAAAAACATGTTCGCCGAACTGCCACATGCAACGATCCGGGAATCACTAGATTGGATGATCAAGATGATGGAGGCGAAGGGATATGACAGGGTGAATGTGAATTGTTGAGGGAAGAAACCAGCTATGGGCAGGCAAGCGAGGGATGGACACCACTCAGTGAAATTCAATCATATACGTGATTGGGTTGGCTATGAGCTGGATCATTCCTACTGTTCGGCCGAAGGGGAACTGATACAGCAAGTACAAGGAATCCCGATGGGCGGGCATACCAGCCCAGCCCTGGCATGTATCCTCTGTGTCAAAAGTGAAGCCCAACTCATATCTGACCTTGGGACGGACTGGAAACAGATCCTTGGATTACGACTCATGGATGATGTAGCCATTTTCATCTGCTACCTTCGGAAGAAGGTGGACTCGGCATGCCGGGCGAGGGACATCCTTGCGCAACTACGGAGGTGTTACCCGCCTGACCTCACTCTGGAAAGAACGGACGAAGACAATGGGACACTATCCTTCCTGGGATGCAAGATCTTCTTGGACCAGCAGGGCCCAAAGATCTCATCCGTTCTCCAAATGAAGAACCAGGAATGCCTGTCCGAAGGCAGACCATTGGTTTTCCAGAGTATACAGGACTACACATCATACAGCGACAAGGAAACCAAGAGATCGATGATCACAAGCTACCTCCACCGCATTGTGAGATGCTGGAGTGATAAGAGGCTTCGAACTCTGCCGACTATATGCGTCAGAAGAGAGCTTCGTGCGAGGAACTACGCACAACGGATGATCGTCTCAACCTTTCAGAAATTCGAGGAGAAGCAACATGAAGAACTGGGGTACAAGAGAGAGAGAGAG